TGATGCTGGATTCATAGTAGACGGATGCACTGGACCTTTTGGATATTTCCAAGGACTATATTGTATAACTTTGTGAACCGTATAATAATTGTGAATATTTGTGTTGTGGATTGAGACCCGTGATTTGTCTCCGTCGTGACTTTTCCATTCCAATGGATCCAGGATTGGTAAGAAGTGATGAACTGTTATGAACAAAAACATTTTGGTAAAAGTTAATGTATTGATGATTGATGAACTGTTATTCATATTTTGTTATTCATAACTATGATTTATAACTGTTGACCACATTGTAAGTATTGATATGTATGTATTATTGTGGCCCATGATTGTGTTTATTGCAAATATTACTCTCCATGACAATATTCCCATGATATATAGTCCCAAAAATAAGATTTGATAAAAGGATCCAACATTCGGGACGAATGTTTTCATGGAGGGGGAGCTGTGTTACGGATTTTCCCCATGACTAAAATTACCCACAGATTGGATCACCCCAATTATGCCCTGAATATTTAATCTACGTATCGTAATTTTATTTGTAGATATCATGGGAATATTACCAATCATCGTATGTTATTAATGTATGCTTTATAATTCATTGTATATGTTTATTTCATGAATATCATTTCGTTGTATTGTACAAACCCGAATTTCCTCCACAGATCGTAATGACTTATGGTCGTCTGGCATTGTTATTCAATCAAGGTACCCAAATCCAACTTGGCATCGTTACCAAAACAATTCCCAAACAACAAATCATCCCTTTTCCCGCATTTGTAATGCTAAAGCCTTTACTTGATGCAAAAGTTATGAATGTTACCATACAAACGTCGCGCGAATACTGGCGGTACCGCTTGTTATTCGCACGTGAACTAATTCGCACCGGAATACCAAAAGGTATATAAAGAAGGCACTTTAGACTTTTTCTTCAGTCTGGGGGGTTGGTCAGCCCCTTTAACATCTGACCAACTCAGAGTCCCAACTCCCCATCATTGGGTAAAAACTGAGGCCCTCACATTGGGTAAATTTATCCAATATTGGGTAACCCAATCTACCCAATTATTATATATCCTGACCCAACCATAATCAGCTGAACAGATTGTCCCATTGTTGATATTGAGGAACCCAATCAGCTGACTATTATATATATCCTGACCCAACCATAATCAGCTGAACAGATTGTCCCATTGTTGATATTGAGGAACCCAATCAGCTGACTATTATATATCCTGTCCCATTAGCCATAAGTATACTCTGTTTGTATTTTATAAATCATAAATCATTATTGTTATTGTTTGAATAAATTCATTTTTATAGATAAACAAATCTTGTTGATTAATCAAGGTAAATCTCAGGAATAAGAGGACCCACATAATTTTTGTAACACCCAAGATCGGGTCACGTTACAGCTAAAATACCATATAAGATCAACAAAGCTACATAATGATTGTTTCAATTATAATACTGTTTTGTGGCATTCTTTCCACTTAGGCTTACATGTAGTAATGGTGGCATGTTTTCGTTTGAAAAATTAAAGGAAAAAAGGGATAACATTGCTTTATTGTTTAATTCAGTTGGAATATACCATCTAGCCTATAAGTATTTTTTTTTTTAATATTAAGTGTATATTACATAATAATGTTCTATTGAATTAAAACTACATATCAGCATTATTTCTTAAACTGTTTATCAAACCCAAGAAAATATCAGAACATTGATTTGAAATTGTCAACTTACTTTGGCAAAAAGTAAGTAATCTATATTAAGTAAGTTTCAAAGGTAGGTTTTGAATTTATTTAATGTGAATATGCATGTTTAATATTAACAATAGATAGAAGCATAAAAAAGTTTTGTTGCAAAAATTATTAAATTAAATTAATTATATAAGAATGAAAATTAATGTCAATATCCATACTTTGGCAATATATCAATGTGCTTGATACATAAAAAAATAAAAATACTTTTAATGACATAATATTCAGCTTTAAAAAATATAAGTATATCATATCCATAAATATATAAGCACTTAAGACATAAGACGATATAGATCTAATTTCAAATCGGAGCAGCTGCAACATTTCACTTAAATTTGTTCCGTACTGTATATTCTATGTGATAATACATTCTAATGCAATTGTTTTGTAAAACACTTTTTGATTAGCTAATGCATTGATGTTTGAAGCAGTAAAACTAGCATTAACGAGCGTGAAAGCTTTTCGTTGTGACGTCATAATAGAGCGACGCAAAAACACAATGCTCCGTGACGTATTTCATGTAACAAAATTCATCAAAATAAGACGTAAACAACAAACAAAATCATGGATTGCATTAGAATGGGAATAACTGATCTTCTAATTTGGTATTTGCGACCGTTAATGCTGATTTAACGGTCGCAAACATCCGTTTTACCGGCTCCGCTTACGCGTCGCCCGTAAAACTCAACAAAATTAGACAAAAGAAAAACTCAAACAGCATTTTCTTGAGAATAGCTAATGGATCCTCTTCAATATCTGTAAAGATATATAATATCAAAGGGTAAAAACAATGAAAAAAAGAAATTGAAAAAAATTGAAAAACTGTCAAAAATTTATAAACATCACAAAAATTCAGGTGTAAGAGATCCGCTTTAAGAGTGGACTCAAATATCTTGGTACTGTTTTTTTTTTTTTATATAAATAAACTTCAAATTAACTCTACTTACACAAGTATTAAACAAATGTCACGCAAGGACATTGAAAGAAGTTCGCATTGTACATGTATTGTTTTTCAATGAGATTAAGCGAAAATCATTGTGTTTCCAGTCAATGACAAAGACACACATTTAGTGAATTCATGGTATTGAGAAAGGTAGATTTACTTACCGTTTTTATCCAACTTGCATGTGTTATCCTCTGCTACATATAACAAAACAAGCTAGGATGGTAAACGGCCAAAAGCGGTAAAAGAAATTCCTATAACCAAATGAACACTTCGTCTAAAACCTGCACGTTTCCATACTTGTAAACAGCTGACAATCAATGGCGATCAAACGTTTTGGTCATGCGAAATTTCACCGGGTATAACGATTCATTCGGGTGTATACAAATAGAGGACAGTGTATCCTCTAGTCGATGGGAAGTTAATACATATGTCTTATATTATCAAATTTGCATTTTGGGGGGATAGGCCTATATTTTGCTGAAAAAGCATATATGCTTATTGAAGAAATCAAGTTATGAGTATATGGCGTTTTGACACGTAATGATGAATTAGCATATGCACCCCTACTAATGTTATTGTGATTTAAATTCAAGACACGTGGTTTAGGTTGATCTATTCAAAGGTTATAGGGTAGAACCGGTTTTATAAATAAAATTGGCAGTAAACATGATATTGCTATAGCCTGTTTCTTTTGAAAACATGTCCTGTTATAAATGTTTCCAGACCTTTCTTAAAGACTTTCATGATTTTCAACTGATAACGGGTGGCTAAAGTAGGGGGTGTTAAAATAACAATATATCTTATACTTTTCGGCGAAAATTAAAGCTCACTAGTGACCGATTCGCTGGTAAAAAAAAGTGCACTATCATCTACACTGACAAACCTTTGTTTGCCTTATATGGCTATTGTTGAATGAATAGCAACGTTCACGCCAAATACATGTTTACATTTTACTTCGAACACGTAGTTCAGGTCAATCTACGATCATGTTAATGGAAGTGCAAAATAAACAAAATGTTCTTACGAACAAAATACAAAGATAAGAAACTATATAGTTTGTGTCTAGTTTAGAACACCAGCGCTTCAAGGGTAAGGAAAACGAGCAGCATCTCTTATGCATTTAAATGGACAAAACTTTGTTTACGTTCGTGATCACGTGTTTAGCCAAGGAATTCACCTGGCAATTGTATTCATCGATAGTACAACAAAGGAATTAAAACAGACGCAAATCGCTTGTGCAGTATGACTTTCAGAAACCTAGACTTCCGCCGTTTATTTAAAAAATGAATTGTTTGTTTTATAAGCATGAAAATAATATTTTTAAAAATGCTTTTCATTTACCATAAGATTTTCCTTTTTTTTTCAAGCGTAAAATCCCTGTAGTATTCGTAGTAACCCATAATGCAATACTCATTCAGCTGATTGGTCAGTTAAAATCATACTGGTGCCTCATTTGCTAATCTGACGCCAACAAATATAGTCCCGGTTCCCATAAAAAAAAATATTTGTCCAAAAAGAAATTTTAATTCATGACTGCAGAAAACTGTATTATAGAGAATACTTATGTAAGTTTGAATGAATGTAAAAGAGATCGATTGATTGAAGTACATCTCTCCATATATTATCAGCTGATTCTACGGGGGTTGAAAACTGAAACGCAACATAACTTTCTGTTTACCATGCCTCCACGTGCTAGTCACTTCCTAACCACATTTCCGTGAATAATTTACCCTGTCTCGCTGAAGTCTCGCTAACTCTCGCTAGAGCCACTGCCAGAGCTATTCTGAACTCATCGGGTTTTATAATTTGCAGAACACCGAAAAATAAAAGGTTCCGAACACATTAGTAGGGGTGATATGGACAAGCCCTATTTTTTTTTTATCATTTTCTTTGTAATCTAAAAATCTTATTCTAATAAGTTTGTAAATGTATCATCTTATAATTAAATAAGTAAAGTTGAATACATTGACAAACAATTCATTTTTAAAGAAAGGATACGTATTGGGCAAAACACTGTATTCATTGATGTGATATAATGTACATTCCATCCACAATATCGCATGTTGTGTTATACTCAGTGATTTATCGGTGTCAAGTGAATTTGAATCTGATCATTTGGGATCAGAATGGTGTTTTTCCGGAAGTACGCCATGTTGTGACGTTGTAGAGGGCCCCCTCAATAAATGTAACACGCAACTCAAATTGCCACGAAACTTGGGTATCGTGTTTCCTTTTAATGCTGACAAAAAGTATATATAGAATATTTTCTCAGTAAAGTTACTTATAATACAACAAGTAACATGGCATTTGTTCAAAATTTTTTCTATGTGTGCTGTTTCTTCTTGTGCATTCCAACAATTGTTTATAGTGCACAACATTCCAATCTGAAAGGTATTTTCATCATCGTTATTGAAATGTAAAAACTAAATTAAAGAAATAATAATAATATTTTTTTCTTTTTTGTAATTCAAAATTAACACATGTATATCATCGTATTTTTTCGTGATTTTTTATGTGTGAATATTATTTTCAGGAAATGTTAAGTCTCTACTGAGGTTAAAGGCCGAGATTTTCAACCGTACGGTTTTCCTCAGGTAAGTTTGGTGTGGGGTGGAGCTTAATCGAAGCGGCTGAGAAGCCCCGAGGGAACGACGCTGGCTTGTGTATACTATACCTTTATACACAGGATGTTACCTGAGCCCCTGAGTGTATTACCTGTATACATGCGTTTTCCTACGACTTTGTAGACCGAGGCCGTTTTTTATCATGTGTTTTTTAATGAAGTGTTATAACAAAAATACATTTAGCACCAAAATCTGTCGTTGTAATCTGGGGGTCGTAACATAAAGGCTACTTAAGTCTAAGACCGTGCTTAAGTAGGACTTAAGTACAGTCTAAAACTTAAGACCGTAACTAGAAGCGTACTAAGATTTGGCAATCTTAGCAAAACTTAGGCGGCCGGTAGAGGTGACTTAAGTATATCTTAACTTTCTTGTACATATATTTAGAATTATTTAATGTTGATTTTCGATGTTAAAACATTCCTCTATTCATATTATACATTGTAGAAAATAATTATATCTATTTGACGCCGATTTAAGAATGTTAGTTTTTCGTTGGGGGGGGGGGGGTGTCACTGATTCCAATAGCACTCCCAACGCAACATACATGTAAATACAAAATCTAATTATTATACATCTGAAATTAGTGGGACCTCGGTTATAGAAATAAATTGAACACAGTAATAAACCATGGATATGTATGTTCACTTTGAAAATATGAGTTGAAATAATTTGTTAAAAACAGAAAAGAAAAAGGATGATGACAGTAACAGTAATATTATAAAAAGTATCTGTAAAGTAGAATAAATGTAGAACGCGACAAGTGCGGATTTAGACAGGGCTTACTAGTTCCAGAGAGAGAGAGAGAGAGAGAGAGAGAGAGAGGGAGAGAGAGAATTGCTAATATGTGGAGACATACGAAAAAATATCCTGATTTTTTTTTTGTATCCTTGATTAACTTTCAAATGGGTATATCATAAAACTTCTGCAGAGTTTGCTTTTGACATGCATCGCCTAAATAACGGGATTCAAAATGTATTGAACTTTTTAGAGTTTCAATTTCAAGTGGATAGGCGGTCGATTATCTTTTCTTGTCTGCTATAATAACAGGTTAAGTGAACATTAGTCAAAACAAAAGAGTTACAAAAGGTAAACTGAAAACATCTCAGGTGATAAAACAATTGTCGTGAACATTTACAATGAACCACAAATCGCCATTTCTGACCGTGCGGTATTTGTTTTCAAACATTCTGAATAATTTATAACATAATTGTAATTTTAGTACGAAATCTAATCTAACATAACTTAAACCGATAAGTAAGGACGTCAACTTTAATATGTGATTAATTAAAACCCTAACTGAGTCATTTTTAGCAATATATCTATATAAAATCAAAAAGCGTAGGTTAACTCACATGAAATATTTTTAACATAAGTTTGACTTAGCTAAGACCTAGCTAAGTTCGTTTTATGTTACGGTTTAAGACATACTTAAGTAGTACTTAGTCAGGTCCTAAGATTATGCCTGAACCGTACCTACGACCCTACTTAAGTCAAAAACTTAGCAAGCTTTATGTTACGAGCCCCTGGCGACAAAAAGGGAAGTAAATAATTCAAATTACACGTCAGGTATGTAAAACGAAAAAAGAAGAAATTGGGTCATAAAACAGTCTCTCGGTAAATAACAATGAAACTTAGAAACGATGTTTTGAGAATAAAATGTTGAAGTAGAATTTATTGTCTAAATAAATATCTTTTTAAGATAAACCATACTTGATTTTTCCATAACGCGTGGACGGTAAAAATGGCCAGGGCTTCGGACCGGGGTTGATTCCTCGACAGCTATGAAACGGGAACAGAATCATCTGCATCGGTTTTTTTTTCTTTCGGGATTCATTATTAATTTCAAACATTAAATACAAAGCAAGATGTTATATTCCGAGTAATTTCTCTTCTAAAACTTATTGTACCATAACTTCGTCACCATGTCTCGAAGAAAAGCGACACGTACAGGTTTGTCTTATAAATATAAATTCGCTTGAATCATGAACAATATTTCAATGTTGCCATACTTGTTTTAAAACATAGTTTTATTAATTCCATGACACGGAAAATTATCGATTGTAATCGTGATATGAAATCCTCCCATTTAAAATTAAATTTATAATATATATATATTACACTGTATATAGCCATGATTTTCTTGTCATTTATTTAATTATTTGATAGATTAATTATAGTTATGGCATATTCTTATGGATTAAAAAAAAAAGAAAAGAACGATTTGATTGCTTCTTTATCACGTTGGCATACAGTTGCGGTAGGCATCAAAAGCCTGTAAGTTAATTCGATGGTCGGTACGATCTCCAGACAAGGTACACAAGATATACACAGCAGCAGCAAACTAAATGTCAATCAAATCAAAGTATCCAATCACAGGCTTAATTTCAGGTGATTGACAGAGGTTCTAAGACCAGGTAAATTCGAAGGAGGTGCTTATTTCCTCCCCCTTTAACTCCCTGGGGTTGGAAACACCTGATCACATCCGTCAAAGTGGACACCCCGGTCTCTGTGGACATTTCTCTTCTGTCTCACTACAGGCTTACTGGAAAACATTTCAACAAGTACCAGAGTAAGTATGTAAGAATAGGATTTGAATGCACAAGAACGGAAAAAAATATCTTGAAGATTTTTGCTTGAATTATTCCAAAAAGGTCTTCCTTGGAGTGTATTTTAAATCTTTCAACAGCTGTAATGCATGACACCGACACTGACACAAAAAGGTCTACAAATAAACATTATTGTATGTAATATGTTATCTTGGAAACAGAACTTCAAAAGCAAAGAGATTGTGCATCGATTCTAGAATTCATACCCAACACAAGAGGGAAAGATGGCGTCTACACTATATACCCGGATAAGAAGACAAAGAAAAAGGTGTACTGTGACATGACTACAGAGGGAGGGGGCTGGACGGTAAGAAGTTCATTAAGCACTTATCATGAAAATATTTTATATCACGAAAAATTTAAGCATATGTATATTTTCAATTTCTACAATGCAATTTCATCCTCGGCATTTTTTTCAAAATACAGGTTATCAATAGGAGGATGGATGGATCAGTTGATTTTTATAAATCTTGGGAATCCTACAGAGAAGGGTTTGGAAATGTTGATGGAGAATACTGGTTAGGTAAGAGATTATACAATTTACTATCATTTGAATTATGATTAAACAATGGTGATCTTGGGAGTTTCATTGATTGTTTTTAGTTTGAGGAGTTTATTGCGGCCTCTTGGTAAAAATGATCCGCGAAAAAATTTGATGAAATCAAAAAATTGGCATATAATCAAAAAGATGAAATATGCAAAGATATCCTTCAAACAAAACCAATGATTGCATATACAAAGAATGAAATATTGGTGATTTGCTTACAAAAAAGCATTTTCAGAATGTTATTTTCTATTTCTGTATTATAAAATTCATATCTATACATGCGTGGATCTAAGATTTTTTTCCAATTGGAGGGGGGGGGGGTCTGCCCTAGTAAAAATAATTCATCTAAAAAAATTCTTGAAAAGCAAAAAAAAAAAAAAAAAAAAGAAAAAACAAAAAAACAAAAGTAAACCTATTTCCCAAAGAAAAAAACTTAGGGGGCGGATGTAACTTTTAAAGCTTCATACCTACATGTAGGCACCTAGTACTTTTTTATAGCCACTTAGCACATAGTAGCGTGTTGGGGGGGGGGGTAAGCGTTTTCTAGGGGGCGTTCAATATCACTTAAAGTAAGCTTGGTTTAGTAAATGCATTCAAAACTTCTCCCTCCCCCACGACCCCCCCCCCCTACATCCGTGCGTGTCTATATTATTGAAAACTGTTTAATTATTTGGCAATAGTTTGATAAAAGTATTTTTTTCATATTGTCTAACATATAGGAGCCATCTTTGTGCGATTCAATACTTCTTAAATTAACTCATTATTCTAAAATTTTCGTAGACGTCATTCAGTCGTACTAACAAAAGCAAAAAAGATACAAATACAGCTTGCCCAGTGGATGTTCAGTAATCAGCAAATTGTGTAATGCATGAGTACATATACAATAAAATAATGTTCTATGAACGTTTTACGAGTGTAAGAGTTTTATTCTTTTAAAAAGGAAAGCGAGATGTTCAGGGAAAATTTTCTCTTGGAGAAAAATACAAATACTAAAGGTCCTTTCAAGGAAGCAATAAGAAACTGGAATGCTTGATCTGTTTTTAAAATATCTTATATTTATCTGTTAAATAATATATCCATGTGACATTGGACATTTGCATGCAACTTCACAGGATTTTCTTCAATACATATACATAAATACACATATAAGCAAACTACTCATAGTCCTCAGCGTCTCCGTAGACAGTTTGGTACAAACCAACTTGTCGGAAGTTTGATGATTTTAAAGTAGTTTTTACATTGATTAAAGATTAAAACTAAAGTTTAAACTTATCTCAACGATTGTGATATAAAGGTTTGTTTTCATAAAAGCGCAACAAATATGTGGAGCTTTTCGCTCGCTCTCAAGGAATGTCCCCAGTGCACCCCAACCCATCCCTTCTAGATCCGCCACTACATCTCTCCTCTTTTGTGTGAGACGTGGTGGGAAAAACTTGGCATACTGTAGAGAGCGCTTTATCCTTGACTGTTCGAGTTAAATCTCGTAATACTCTGTCTGATAATAAATCATCATTCAATCATTTTGAAATTTTCTTTCGGAAATGTATATATACACGGCATTTTAAAATATATTCAACAAATCCTGTTGAAATAAAGAAAGTAAAATCGTTTATACTTGTACGAGGGCTGCTCAATAAATAATGTCCTGAACTGTATGGCACACAATACAGATATCATATGACATTATACTTGACTTTCTTTGATAATTGAACCATGAATTTATCAAAGATCATGTGACCACTTTTCATCAAATAGTTTAATTATGAGAAGCTGGGAAACACGGGCTATTCGAGACACTGCATTATAAATGAATGGTAAAGAATCGGTAAACTAGAGTGAAAATAAAAGCTTCATCAAAGCTGCTGTAAAACTTGTTAAAAATCCCAAAGAAATATTCACTGAAATATGTGAAATTTACAGCAATCAATGCCTGTTTTATAGACAAATGAGCAGGTGGATTTCAATGATAAAAAAATTATATAATGGGCCTCAGAAATGGGTACCGTCCTTGCCAACAAAAAATTATAACAACTTATGTACTGTTTGCTAAATTTCAACAAATAATACTTAATGATGTAGGATTGACTTTTAGAAACATAGCAAATTTGATAGAAATCACATTGGGGGTAGCTTAAACTTTTTTAAAGAATTTTTTAAATTTTTTTTTTAAAAAGCTTAGTACTCAAAGGTCACCCTATATTTTTGAAAAATAAGTGAAAACGACAGCGTGTACAATTTTTTAAAATATCAGTAATTGAAGTTATCTTCATTTTTTTGATATTCAAACAGATACTAGAACTTGAATCTATTGCTTAAAATCCTCAAACCAAATTAAACATAAGATGTACTTGACAAAACAGCGAAGGTCTGGCGAGAGCAAAGAATTGCAAGAGTACAAAGACAGATTTATATGCAATTTTCTTAAATATTAGTAGTACTGTTGATCAAATTCGTATTCGTGGTTAAAAGTTTAATTTCTGGAGGAGTCTGGAAAGCCAATAGTTTGCAAAAAATCGGAAGGTTTCTTAAAGGAGACACCCAGGATCAGGAATCCACTACATTAAATTTAAATTAAATGACAGCGTCCAAACCCGCATGCCCTGAAAAGTAAAGGGGTTTTCGGGATAAACAGATAGTTAATTTTTTTTCACAGTAACAATATTCGCCAGATCTTTGACCTTTTGACTTGTTTCTATTTCCAAACTTGAAAAAAAAAGTTGAATATGGAAAGAACAAGTCCAGAAAATCATTGGATCTGCCATTCTCCAGTATACCAAGGATCATACCCAAAAATTCTCAAAACAATCAGAAATTGGATAAAACATGTTACAGATATGTGTTTCAATTAAAAGAGATTAATAAGTAAAATAATGAAGAATAAATCATTGAAAAGCGCGTTTTGCTTCTTTCTGAGCACTAAGGGCATTATTTATTGAACAGCCCTCGTATACTGTATAACGCGGCCTTTGCTTTAAACCATACCCAACACGTGTGCTTATTGTCTCCGCACCTCGGTTATGTCAGAATTTGTTAATCAGGATTGGATGAAACGTTTACCCCATATTTACAAAATTTAATTCTATGATCATTTTGCATATTTTGTAAAACATTTCAACACTCTGTTTTGATATTCTATTATATGAATGTTTAATATTTGTATTCAATTGTTTTAACTCCACAGAAACGCACGACGACTTCAAACTTTCATATCAAATAACCGACCTCCTCCTGGTAACAAACGATGATGATTTTAAAACGCATAAATCGAAACATAAACTACTAGAAATATTTCCTTTCAATATCCTAATTTGACGAATTCATTCACAATTTTTTAGGGAATGAGGCCATTTATTTCCTAACGAATAAGGAAAAGCAAGAACTGAGAGTGGACCTTGAAAACTTCTCAGGCAGAAAGGCTTCCGCTAAGTTTTCATCATTTTCAATTGGAAGCAATTCCCAAAAATACAAGTTGACAGTGAGTGGGTACAGTGGAACAGCAGGTAACAATTTAATTTTATATGTATTCTAGCCTTCCATTGGTTGATTTCCAAAAAGGAACGCAAATTATTCTGTATAATCTGGTTTGGTATGGGGACACACCACCTTGACGACCAGCTGAATCATGTTATCCATGCAATCCCCTCATTTCCAGTCCTCGGGATTCATGGAAAATTCCAGATTTAATAAATGTACCTTTAACTTCAAACAGCAGTTCGAATTGACGACGGATTTTTTCCGTTATTTTCTGATCATGACAAGGAGTACACGGCTGGTGTGACCGGTCGGCAAGGGATGCTCACTCCTCAATGGCACCTGATCGCACCTCCGATGTTTCTGGGGTCCGTGTTTGCTCTGCTCTTATTTTGTATTGTTTTATGGACTTTGAGATTAAGGTATCCGATCCATAATAGCCTCGGATTCAATGAATTTGAAGGTATAACAGATATATATTGGCTGAATACTCGGTATATGTAGACATAATCTTCATTTTTTAGTCTCAATATGTAAGAGTGGAATGTGTCCTACTTTTTGACCTTGACACGTCCTTGAAGAGTTACCCCCCTTTGCTTTTAATCAATAAAATTCAATTTAAAAAAATGTATCTGGTGAAAAATTATATTTAATTTTTTTTTCTATTCTTAATAATTATATGCATCTTTTCACCATGGCATTTTTTTTTGATTTTCATAGTATTTAAATTTTTATTTTGAAAAATTTGCTTTTTCCCATAGACCTCAACGCATTCTTAATAAATTAATTACTTCTAAGATAATTATATTTTTGAAAATTTCTCTTGGTAAATCCTTTTCTACCTTAAACTGCTTTGAATTAGTCTCAGAGTATCTAATATAGGATGAATATTTAAGAATAGAAAATTATGTCCTTTTATGGATCGGATACCTTAAATACTGTTCGTTATCTCCATATCCTTCTCATTTAAACAAACATCATGACTGCTAGGTATATGTATCAGTTTTTGTTTCCCCTCGCTTTCCATAATTTCCATTACTACGGTTGTATTACTGAGCGGCAAATTTGAACTCATAAAAAGCAACACAATTATACAACATAGCTAATTAAATTATAAGAAATTACTCTAATTCTTGGCCAAATTGTTAGAGTATATCCTTGTTTGGATCAGTGTACGCTTTTTTATAATCCGCTGAATAATGAGGTCACACCCTCCAGCATATAGCAACAGTCAACATTGCTTGACGATGTGTTATGTTTAGAAAATGTTGACTGCGCAGATTTTAAGCACGCAAGGTTAACTGTAATATTGTTTGTATAAAACATTCAGTATAATATAATAAATATTGTATGTAGTCAAGTGTAACATTGAAAATGTGTGCCCCTCGAAAACCATTGTCAACCTCGGCTGTGCCTGGTTTGACAATGGTTTCTTGGGGGGGGGGGGGGGGGGGTTCAATGTTATACTCAACTACATGCAATAATATATATAATAGTTTGTCGACTAGCGCTATAAAATTCTAACTGTCTCAGGTGCATTAATGGATTTTATACCACATTTAGTTGGCATGATTTTAATTATCTGTCAATAAAATTAGCCATACATTTGTTACGTCGAAATGCGACATTCATCATGTATTTTAAAGATTGAACTGCAACAAAGAAATATACTGGCATAATCACGTGAGGATTTAGTCCTATTTATACATTTAGATCAATTTTCAATACTATATGCATTGAAATCAGCTGTTAATAACATGTTAAAGTCATATGAACAAGACAGTTTTAGTCCTCACTTTATTCTGGAGAATCCCATCAAGAAAAGTAAATTATATGTGAGACAAAGGGCATGCAGACATTAAATATTAAATAATGGCGTTGTCGGGCGTCACAAACCTATGCGACAACGTACTACTGCAAATTATCAACGTATCAAGTTAGCGCTTAAATCTTCAATATTTCTTACAATTTTTGTTGTTTTATTTTATGTATAAATTCCTAAATAAATAAATAAAACAATTATTAGATAAGTGGGTAAAACGAAGACTGACAGTTTGAAAACATTTTACATTTCAGGGGATAGTTTGAATTATCATAATGGCGAAATGTTTTCCACGAAAGATCAAGACAACGACACGTATTGTAAATCCTGTGTGTAACACAATGAGCGTATAAATTATAAGTTTAATTGATATATTAATTTGTACAGTACATTTATCTATGTTTTAATGTTGTGTTATGAATTATAATTGATACTATCAGTGTGTAGTGCGACGGACAATAATATCTTAATTACGAACTTGTTTACAAACTCTGGGAGATAGAATACAATAACAGAGCGTCTTCATTTGACGGACAATTAGTTTTTACGATGTGTTGTTCTCGAGCATTGACACTTCCAGTCACACTTTGTGCAGAGCTGCAGCCATCTAATTTACTGAAGAATGCGCAAGATGCATAATGTTAATGTAAACAGAGGACATTGCTGTATCCTATAAGGAGATGGGAGACAGAGCTTCAGTGAGGGGCGGACAATATTGATATTAATGAAGTGACACTCTAACTAACTAATTGCTATTACCAAATATGTGAACCCTATGATGCAGCTTCTTGTACAAAAGATCCGCGCACTGAGTATCAATAGCTTTTACCATCCTAGCTCCTAGACGGACCATGAGAGCTTTTACGAACTTAGCTCTTAGACCTATGTGACACAATGACTATGTGAGCTTTCACCATCTTGGCTCCGAGATCTTTATAATTGAACTTTTTGATGTACCATTGTTTGTTTGATACCTTTGCTGTGACTTTTTAATAAAACTATAAACTTACAAAAGTCTTCTTAATCCAAACACATTAGCTAATTGTGTTATATAACGGATTAATTGGTGCCCGTGACCAGGACAAGAACGGGAAGTCTCACAACGCTGAAAAGTGAAAAGAAACCCAAGACTACTGTAAGTAACTGTTTTATTATACCTTGATTTTACGGTATGGACAACCAAGACATGGGGAACGGTTTCGACTTAGGGGGTGCCTTTATGACCTTGTCGACTGTAATAGAAACTAAATTTGATGGTCTTGATTCAACAGTTAAAGGTTTATCAAATGCAATTGGTACAAATGGGATTTCAAATATAATAACACCGTATGACGGGGATCCTAGCAAATTTAAAGATTGGGTAAAATCAATTGAAAAGTACTCTTTCATGAACAGTCTATCAGATGAAAAAGTCAAAATTGTGGCTTATGGTTCTAGCCGTGGGGCGGTTTCAGACTTTATTCAACGAATTCTCACGAATAACCCAGGGGGGACCTGGAATGCTTTGAAAAATGAATTATCCACAAGATTTGCTGAAGTAACTGATTCTCAACATGCGTTCATGTTATTACGAAAAGTTCACCAAAAACCCGAAGAAAATGTTCAGATTTTCGCTGAAAGATTATTGTCATTGGCCGAAGAAGCATATAAAGGTCTCGAAGGGGGACCTTCAGTTGAACGTCAATTGATTGGAATATTTATTGATGGTTTATTACAAGACAGATTGAAATTTAAGGTCATGCGTGAAAACTCTGCAACTTTGCAAGCAGCTATAAACTGTGCTATGGCTGAACAAAACCTGTATAAGCGATTCGAACTCAGGTCGGGTACTAAGCAGACCCATATACCCATGGAGGTCGACCATTATAGATCTAAACGCCCTTCAAAAACAACACCAAAGAGAAAAAGTATGTATTCAGTAAATAGAGCAGCAAGTTATCAGAGTGTTGAGTGTTGGAATTGTGGAAAGAAAGGACACATAAAACGAAATTGTAAAAATCAAACTAAAGATCAGTTAAACGAGTAAACTCCTTCCAAATAGGGCCATTGTAAGGAGTAAACATTTGCATTAATCAAAGAATAAAATTGAAAATAAAAACATTCCAAATTTCAAAATTAATATTGCGGGAAATCCAAATTCTTGTATTATTAAGATTAACGGTCAGAAATTTCGCGCACTCATTGATTCTGGTGCGGAAGTCTCTTTGATTCATTCAAAAGTTTTTAGGTCCTTTCATAACATTCCACAATTATCTAAAGAAAGAGTCAATTTACAATCTGTAAATGGTGATACGTTGAAAATCAAAGGAAAAACAAATGTCAGTTTTCAAGTTGGCGGCATGACTTTGAATCATCCATTTTTTGTCATTGAAGAAATGAATAGAAATGTCATATTGGGGCGCGATTGGTTGATCAAGAATGGCGTGCGCTTATATTATGATTTAGGGTCTTTTAGAATTGGGAAAACGTACATTCCATTTCAAGAAGATATTCATATCTCTGCAGTTGTGCGAGCGACTAGGAAATATGTTATCAAACCTCAAACTGCGCATGTTTCTTATGGCAAATTGAAAAGAAGTTTTGTTACAACGGTCTGATGATTTAGTTGAAATCTCATCTCTTGATAATGGTTTTGTGGGAGGTGAACCAGGGCTAATGATAGGCAATTCTTTAACAAAAGTTAAAAATAACAACAGATTGCCCATTTTTATTGTAAATAACACCAATAAAACAATTAAAATTAAACGAGGCTGTCCGATTGGTAGAGCAGAAAATGTAAATAAATCAACAATCGCTTCCATTAATAAAATCGAGAATGCATGCAAAACCTCAAATCAAATAAACTTAGAGCAAGTTGATGTGCCAGCAGAGAATAAAACGAGAATTGCAAAATTGTTAATTGCTAATAAAGATCTTTTTGCTGAAAGTGAAACAGAATTGGGTCAAACAAGCACGGTTAAAATGAAAATTGACACCGGAGATCATAAACCGATCAGACTGCGACCATACAGAGTACCGTTAAATAAACGTCAAATTGTCGAAAGAACAGTAGATGAAATGTTAAGCGCCGATATCATACGAAGGTCAAAATCTCCGTGGAGTTTTCCGATTGTTTTAGTAGAAAAAAAAGGACGGGTCGAAAAGATTTTGTGTTGATTTCAGACAACTGAATAAAATAACTAAAATGAATTCATACCCTTTGCCGTTGATCGATGACATCTTAGCTACTTTGGGGAATGCTAAGTATTTTTCAAGCTTAGACCTTAAATCCGGTTATTGGCAAGTTGCTATGGATGAAGCCGACAAAGAAAAAACAGCTTTTACTTGTCACAGAGGTTTATTTGAATTCAATGTAATGTCATTTGGGTTATGTAATGCTCCACAAATCTTTTCACAATTAATGAGTGAGGTTCTTCAAGGTTATGAACACTATGCTACCGCTTATCTTGACGATGTGTTGATCTATTCTGCAACATATGAAGATCACATAAAACATATTCAGAATGTGTTTGATAGGCGTAGGCAACATGGACTAAAATTAAAACTGAAAAAATGCAGTTTTCTGAAAAATGAAACAAAATATCTAGGTTTTGTTATAGATAAAAACAACAATTATTAGAATAATAATTGTATTTATGTATTTAATGCGATAATTTGTTTGGAGGTTTTCGGAAACATTTACGTTGGTAAATTGTGAAAATTCTCAGATCCACGCCTTGCCTAATTGTAATGGAATGTGTAAGGTCACGTGGTCAGCTCAGCGAGTCATTCACACTCGCGCGCTCACCACCGCTAACATGAAGCACGTCTATTTTGAAGAAGGCTTTAATGACAAAGAAGTAAAAACAAATATACAATTGGAGATCAGGACCCATTCTTTGCCGGGAATCCATTTTTGGCGTCATAGAGGTTTCTGGGTCCTCATGGTGTACGCACGACCAACCTATGCGGAAGTTCCTTCGAAGTATAAGGAATGCAGTTATTCAATCGCCAAGATTATTAAGGCCAGTATAACCTTTTGTCTCATTCTACATGAATTGCACACTGGGGTGCTTATGTTTGTGGTAGGCTACCAAGTTTTAAGGTCATAAGAGAGAATTAATTGCTCTGTCAGTCAGTGCTGTTCGTTAAAGGCTAGTTGATGTCTTGATGGCTGTTTGCTGTTAGGCAATAAAATCAATGTTCGAAATATTTAGAATCATGCATGCATGTTTGGTGAACTTGTTACTGACGAGACATATTCAGGACCAGGTGGCTCATAATGACAATGGTTTCGTCTTATGAAGCAGTCATTTATCTGGGCATTGTTTCGCATTATCTCGTTTCTTTATTGTTTATTCTTTCGTACAATATAGGTAGGAAACTAGAAGTCAACGTATATATTCTGTCTGATTATTATTAATTACAATTGGTATGACGTTTAGGTCTTATGTACTTATCGTTTGGAAGTAGAGGTACACAGTCAACATATGAACCGACCCACGTGTTAAGCAATAGTACAGAGTAGGCCGCATATAAGTACTCATTGTATGGGAGTCTAAGTGCAAAGTTTATCTGTGCTTACCCATGTTTAACAATGGTACGGAGTAGGCCGCAAATAAGTACTCATTGTATGGGAGTCTAGGTGCAAAGTTTATCTGTGCTTACCCATGTTTAACAATGGTACGGAGTAGGCCGCATATAAGTACTCATTGTATGGGAGTCTAGGTGCAAAGTTTATCTGTGCTTACCCATGTTTAACAATGGTACGGAGTAGGCCGCATATAAGTACTCATTGTATGGGAATCTAGGTGCAAAGTTTATATGTGCCTACCCATGTTTAACAATGGTACGGAGTAGGCCGCATATATGTACTCAGTGTATGGGAGTCTAGGTGCAAAGTTTATCTGTGCCTACCCATGTTTAACAATGGTACAGAGTTAAGGCCGCATATATGTACTCATTGTATGGGAGTCTAGGTGCAAAGTTTATCTGTGCTTACCCATGTTTAACAATGGTACAGAGTTAAGGCCGCATATATGTACTCATTGTATGGGAATTTTAGGTACAAAGTTTATCTGTGCCTACCCATGTTTAACATTGGTACGGAGTAGGCCGCATATATGTACTTATTGTGTGGGAGTTTAGGTTCAAAGTTGTTATGTACCTATCTATCCAAGTATTAAATAATAGTACAGAATTGTAGTCTTCCTTCATGTTTTTTTTTTTTTACCAGTCGCACTTGATTAAATGGTTTTGTCTATCAAGTTTCTAAACTGTGCTTATGTTTATGGGTTGTACCTAGGGATAAACATTGGATTTATAAGTTCTATATTGTTTTATTGCTAAT